TATATATATATATATATATATATTTGGAGTGAACAAATTTTGTATCTATTTGTCTCTTGAACTGTGTTGTAATTAGCTGGCTAACTACCTAGCATTAGCATTAGCACAGCTAACAATGCTCCTTTTTTCTGGATGTTTCAGACCTAGTTTATGTTTTGTACAAATTCTAGCCTGAGTGGTGCCAATTTGCGTCATCAAAATCTTGGCAAAAAAGCGACTAAGAATGTTTCCCAAGTGTCTCATTCCTCCAACTTGCATACATTCAGCTTCTTGGCATTCAGAGACGGATTTGATTTATTATTTTTTTTACTGAATCAGGAACACGGCAGCCCAGATAGAAGCATGATATAAATTTTAACAATCACCGATCGAGACACCAGTGAAAACACAATATATGTTCATTGCACTTCTTGTTTCAGCTTTGTGTGCTGTACAAATCACGAGGGTTCTGGTTCTGGTTCCTGCGCGGTTCCCTCCGAGTTTCAGGCGGTTGTAATTTCCAGCATCAACTTTTTTTCTGCCCTTGGTGATTGATACGACATTGAAAGCGGTGGACACATTCTCCAAAAATGATGCGCCAAAGTAAAAACAAAACAAAAAACAAAATAAACAAAACATTCATTTTTTCCGTAAAAAATATCCCCAAAAAATCAGAAAGTATACATAAAACCTGTTAAGTCATACAGCAATTATTTAAATTCAAGACACTGGATTTATAGTGGTAGCAGCAGCACTAGCTACAGACAAATTAACAGTACACTCAAGTGTGTCAGATAGTAACAACAGCCAAAAGAAAAACCACAAGCGTTTTGAAGAGAGACTGTTCTACGTTTCACTCAACCTCTGGCAGTGTCAGCTGGATATCTTGCTTCTGTTTCCCCTTCTGGGCAGAAACCCACACATTTGTATATTTATCGCAAATTCACTCCCTTTTTAGGCCTTTGCCATCTCTGCACAATCAACAGACAAGCACACGTCTATCTACATCCTCTAGAAGCTGTAAACAACTGTCCCTCGTGTATCGAATGCATTATATTTTATTGTTCCGTTGTTTTATTTAGAAGTCTATTTCTTCCTGTCTTTCAAGTCTTTCCCTTTGTTTTCCTTTTCTCTGGTTTCTTTTTCATATTTGTCCTTGTCCGACTTGGTTACACTGTTGTAGGAGGGCGGGGAAGCGGTGGACGGGGTCATGTCCGTTTTGTCTGACGTTGAGTTCTCATTGAACTTGCCGATGACCATCACGTCTTTGTCCGGGTCACGGACGCCCTCCTTCAGCTGCTCCTTGTAGAGGGCGGAGGCCTTCTTCATGGCCTGGCGGATCATGTAGAGGCGGAAGGCCCGCTGGATAATAATGGCCGACGTTTCCTCCTGCTTGCGGCGCAGGGTGGTGGTGATGGGCTCGTAGGACACCTTGGAGGGGTTGGACGCCATGAAGCGCTCCTCCATCTGCCCGCGCAACATGTCCATCTCACCGCCTTCGCCCAGCACCCGCTTGGTGAAAGCAAATAGTATGTCGAGGCAGTGGATACGTTCGCCGCTCACCATTGGCAAGTCCATGGTTATAAGTTGGGTCATGTTGGGCTTGGGCATGCGCAACGGTGGATCCAGAGCATCCGCAAAATCTGAGAGCTTGCTGTACTCCACGAACTGTGTGGCATCTGGATCAAAGCGCTCCCACACTTCGTAGAACATCTCAAAGTCGTCCTCACTCAGTGGCTCGGCGCTCTCCTCTGTGGCCACGCTGAAGTTCTCCAGGATGACAGCGATGTACATGTTGACCACAATGAGAAAGCAGATGATGATGTAGCTGACGAAGAAGAAGATGCCCACCGATGGGTTGCCACAGTTGCCCTTGTAAGAGTTCCCCGGGTGCTCCATTTGACTGTCACAGTCAGGCTCCCTCTTGTTCAGGATGGGCGCCAACAGTCCGTCCCACCCGGCCGAGGTCGTGATCTGAAATAAGCAGATCATGCTGTTACCGAAAGTCTCGAAGTTAAACATGTCGTCGATCCCGGACTCCCTTTTGACGTAAGCAAAGTTGGACATGGCGAAGATGGCGTAGATGAACATAACCAGGAAGAGCAGGAGGCCTATGTTGAACAGGGCAGGGAGCGACATCATCAAGGCAAAGAGAAGCGTCCGAATGCCTTTGGCACCTTTGATGAGTCGCAGGATGCGGCCTATACGGGCAAGCCGAATCACACGGAACAGCGTTGGAGACACAAAGTACTTCTCGATAACCTCAGACAAAAACATACCTGTGAAAAAAGAGACGTTGTCAGCGTCAACCATGTGATTTTGTAAAAATCCACCAACAAGTTAAAGTTCCTTGAACTGTAACCTTACCTACAATCGAAAGGATCACCACCACAAAGTCAAAGATGTTCCAACCAATAGTGAAGTAATAGTGACGCAAAGAAATCATCTTGAGTGCGCACTCCCCGGTGAAGAGCACAATGAAGACCAGGTTGATCCAGTAAAGGATCCTGTCCATGTCTTCCGTCTGGTCATCCGTCTCCACCATCATAGTCACCATGTTAAGGCAGATGAGGATCATAATTATGATGTCAAATGCCTGCTTTGTGATGCAGTCAAACACAAAGCCTTGGAAAGCATTCTGAAACCAGAAGAGTATCGTGTTACACTTTAATTTGGAGTCTACGTAGAGCATAAGGAGCAGGGTCTTACCGTTGGCCGAGGAATAGGCTTCTGTGGTTTCTTGGAACCCAGCTTCTTCATGGCATTGTAGTATTTCTTCTGTTCTTCTGTCATGAAGATGTCTTGACCTCCAAAGTAAAGGGAAAATGCACAAAAAACTGGTTAAAACCACATTCTATGATCTTCGTTACCTTGCATGAAAACCAAAATCAGCTACATTTTTGTCTAAACCTGAAAGGTGCGTGAAACTAGATTTAGACATCGCATTGAAAATTTCATTTCTGGATTTCACTATGTACTGTTTCACCTGACTAAAATTGCATTTAAATAATCTCAGACTACTGTCACATGTTGGCCTTGGTATGTTAGTTCTCAGTTCTACTACAAGTTGTTTGAAACATGTGAAAACTCCTAATTACCTAACGTTTAACTTAAACACATCTCCATTTTGTTACTGACTCAATGCAATCTGAGACGATGATGAAGATGGATGCAGTTGAGACTAAAGCACAAAATGTAAAGGCTAAAAAGCAACAACGTGTGACAATAAAGTTATATTTTGTTTTGGTTCCTTTGTTGTTCTGCACAATATATGAGTTGAAATGATCAAACATGATGTTTAGTAAATTCGCCCAGAAGCTTATGCCAGTGTATTTGGTAGACTATTTCTCTGTTGTAACAAAAATTGCTTCTTGGCAATAAATCTTATACTGGGCACCTAATTGGCAGCCCTTGGGGGGTACCAGAAGCTCATAAACGTATCAATAGAAACAGCAGAATAAGCTATTTGGCAGAGAAGATTTGGCAAATTTTTTATGTGAGCAACCCACATACTCAGCTCTGCTGCCCATCCCACAAATGCATGTTCCTTACAAATGTGTCAATATTTAAGATGGAAATTAACAGGTATAAGATTTATTGCCAAGGAGCATTGTTACAACAAAGAAATTATCTACCAAACACAAATTTACTTACATTTTGTGCCAAGTTTATATATGCTATTGGTGCCTCAATACCAGTATTTTAAATCCTCACTAATTGCTCTTCTCACTTCCCCTATTACATCCAACCCTTCTGGCTTCACAAACAATCCAGTAGTTCGTTCTGTCTTAAAAATTTGGTGCCAGTTTAGGAGGCATTTCAAATTTAACTCAGCATGTACACTTGCTCCTTTAATGAGGAACCACTTGTTTCAACCAGCACTCACAGATCCAACCTTTTCGTAATGGGGTAATAAAGGGCTGACATGTTTTAATGATTTTTACAAAGAAGGCATCTTCCGCAGCTTTACAGACCTTTCATTAGAATTTCATCTCCCTCCTTCTCACCTATTCTGCTATTTTCAAATTAGACATTGTGCTAGGGCTCTGTTTCTCGATTTCCCTTCCAAGCCGCCGAACTTGCATTGGGAGATGTTTATGAGCTGGGATCCTCTTCAAAGGTCATATATCTATCATATATATATAACGAAATACTGTCTTTTGAGTCTTTACCTATTACCAAAGTTAAGGCGGCTTGGGAGCTCGAACTGGGTCTAAATTTGGAAGAGGACTGGTGGAATAATGCTCTTAAGAAAATTCAAACAAATTCAATTTGTGCTCGACTGTCACTCATATAGTTTAAGGTTCTCTTCAGGGTTCATCTCTGTAAAATTCATTTGTCACAATTCCTCTCTTCTGTTTCTGACAATTGTGACAAATGTCATGCGCCTTCCTGCAACTTAAGTAACATGTTTTATTCCTGCTCATCACTCCATAGTTTCTGGCAGACCTACTTTGATACAATGTCAAAGATACTTTCGGTGGTTATTAAACCCTCTCCCCATGTTGCAAATTTGGGCTTCCAGTTAATTACAAACAATTCACTTCTAATCAATTGGATATTTTAGCATTTACTTCCTTACTGGCAAGACGCCGCCTTATTTTTCATTGGAAATCAAGTAAACCACCCTCTAGTGCTCAGTGGCTTAAAGACACCATGTCTTTTCTAAAATTGGAGAAGATTAAATATTCAATGAAAGGCAACTCTGCTAAATTTTATAACTTATGGCGCCCTTTCCTGACATACTTCCACTCTCTTTAGTCTCTTCTCCTGGATTGAGTGATACACCCCACACCTTTCCTTTCCTTTCCTTATTTTTATTTATTTATTTTAAATTTAAATTTTTTTTGCTTGTTTTCTTTCCCTTTTTTTTCTTTAGATGTGCTCACGCTGTGTTTTGTTTAGTCATGTAAGAAAAAGAAAAACACTTATAGGAGGTAAATTGTATGCCTTTCTTTTTTTTCTCTTCATCTATATACAGCAGGTAAAATAAGTATTGAACACGTCACATTTTTCTCAGTAAATATATTACTAGAGGTGCTAATGACATGAAATTTTCACCAGATGTTGGTAACAACCCAAGTGTTACTGGGAGAATATAGTCTGGTCAGATGAGACCAACATTGAACTGTTTGGATGCCAGAATACACATCATGTTTGGAGGTCAAATGGCACTGCACATCAGCCCAAAAACACCATACCAACAGTGAAGTTTGGAGGTGGGAACATCATGGTGTGGGGCTGTTTTTCAGCATATGGTACTGGCAAACTTCAAATAATTGAAGGAAGGATGAGTGGAAAAATGTACAGAGACATTCTTGATAAAAATCTGCTTCCATCTACCAGGATGATGAAGATGAAACGTGGCTGGACATTTCAGCAAGACAATGAGCCCAAACACAAAGCCAAGGAAACTCTCGGTTTCAGAGAAAGAAACTAAAGCTGCTGGAATGGCCCAGCCAATCACCTGACCTGAATCCAACAGAAAATCTATGGAAAGAACTAAAGATCAGAGTTCATAGAAGAGGTCCACGAAACCTTCAAGATTTGAAGACTGTTTGTGTGGAAGAATGGGCCAAAATCACACCTGAGCAATGCATGCCACTAGTTTCTCCATACAGGAGGCGTCTTGAAGCTGTCATTGACAACAAAGGCTTTTGTACAAAGTATTAGATAAATTTCAGTAAGTGTGTTCAATACTTTTTCCCTGTGCCATTCCACATTATTACAAATAACTTCATTTCTGGACATTTATGGTTTGATTTCTTTGTATGTATCCATCATTTTAAGTTTCAAGCTAAACCATTTCTACATCCTCTCTGTCAACACGCTCTGGTTTCATTTAAAACATTGGATATTGTCCAAAACTGACTTCAAGATGGATGGAGCTTGCACAGGAACAGCCGGTGAACGTCATTTATGCAGAATGCTTTGCTGTAAGAAAATATTTTTCTAATTCATAGAAACTATACAGCCAATGGTACAGTCTCATTTTAAATGAAATAAATGTTCATAAAATAAAGTTCTTCATAATAACACTTAACATTTTACGAAGGGATTTCCCAACTTCATGTACTCATTTTTAGTCATATTATGGAGAAAATCTGTAATTTGACTATTTCCAATGCAGCTGGAGCATTCTGACTCCTTTTGCCAGAGAGAATGACAACAATCGGATTAGTTTGGATTTGGTTCTTTTAAGACTCACATTTTTGTATTTTTTTTAAGATGACATCTAAAAAAAAGCTGCCTTTTCTCTGAGGTTGAAAGTCTGCTCTTGGATTCACCATTTAATTCATATCAGCAGTTTTAAAGACTAACGTTAAAAGATAAGAGCTAATAATCCTCTAATCTACAGTTCACACAACTTTATATAATGACCAGGTGGTTTGTGGACAGGAATTAAACATTTAATTTMCCCGTTTGTTAAGTGTCCAAAAGCAGTGTTCCACCAAAAATAAACACTGGTAAAAATGGAAGCAATCCTTTTTTTTATCCTTAATTGCAATCAAATGAAACAAATTTAATTATGGACTGAGTGCAGTACAGATCTGAACCAGTCCAGCTTAGCTGCAGGTTTTAAAAGCACAGCTATACTCGCCTCCCGCTGCACTTAGTGACACATTTTAAACATTAATGCCATAAATTATTTAGTTGTTGTGACTAGCTGAAATTGCTCTTTTCTTTTTTAGGGTTGATTCTGTAATGATGTCCACTGAATGTGGGCCAAGATAAAGATATTTTGAGTTACAAAATAACCTAAAAAAAATTCAGTTTTTTAAAGATGTTTTACTTCTCATCAAAGAAGCTTTTTCAATACAAACACAAGAAGTGAAATATTTTCAAGCATTTAAAACTAGCGAACTTAACTCACATCCAAACCACTCCCTCTTCCCCTTGCTGGTGAGATCATTTGAGTTTATGTTGAACCACTAGTTTGAAAAGTTTTCAGTTTGTATGTTTTGTATAGTGGTATTAATTTATATTTTCAGATCTTCCAAGGTGCCAATTATGGAACTCTCTGTGCATTGTTGCCCAAATC